CGCCACCTCCTGGGGAGAGCCAGCGTGCGGCCCAGCAGCCAGCACCCCGCCAATCCAACCTGGTTGGAGAGCTGAGGTCCTCCAAACCTCAGAAAGTAGGCAGCCCCGTGAGGACAGCTTCAAATTGGCTTTACTGGGTGCCCAACTATTGAGCGACCCAGTTTAGACCCTCCAGGCCCAGCCAAAAGTGGGCAAAAAGATGACTTCAAGATCCCTAGGGCCCTCAACAAGAAAGCCAAAACCGGAGAGGAGCCGAGCAGAACCGAAAAGGGCCGAGCAGAACCGAGTCCAGCCGAGCAAAGCAGAGTAGAGCCGAACAAAGTCGATTTTTCCCGAGCCAAAACGAACAGATTCGGGTCCAGCCGGTTGGGATCCGACAAAGGCCGAATAAAGCCGAATCTGGGCGAAGAGAAACGTGAGTGCGCTGAGGTCCAGAGGCGCCCCCTGGCGACACAGGAACACTGAGTTGATTTAAGCGGGACTCATTGGGAGTCCTATGATAGTCCTGTAAAATGGGATTGTGGGGTGCACTTCAGGAATGAGGAAACTGAGGCCCGAGACTGCCTCACAGGCCTCTGAGCTGGGAAGTGAAGGCTCTGAAGTTCCTTTGATGGTGTTTGGCCAAGAACACCCCTGCCACTTAAAGCTCACGTATAAATTTGATTGTGTTTGCCGATTTATTACAGCCAAAGGCCCACAGAGATCTCCCTTGTGGAGGGCTAGCAGAGTTCAGATACAACCATGATGGTCTCACAGATGGAGAAACCAAGCCGGCTTCGGAGGTGTTGACCAAGGGCGGTGGGGCGGCAGTTCCCATGAGCAAATATTGACACATTTCCTGGCCATTAGAGCAGAAAGCCAGACTGAAAAGAGGATGTTCTGTCCCTTCTCTGCAAAGCTTAAAGCACCCTGCCCCCACTCCAGGCCTCAGTTTCCCCACCTGCAGCAAGGTAGTAGCAGAGGATGTGGCCAGGATCCCCGGTACCTGGATCCTAAGGAGAATGAGGCATTCCCTGGAGCCAGGGAGAAAGGAAAAGCTGTTTATATGCATGTACAATTCACCTCCATGCTACAGCACTCTGGAGTGCCTGCCCAAGGCTGCAGGGTTTAAGGTGCTGGGCCTCTGGGAAGCAACTGAGGCCCTGTGTGGCCTGGGTATCTCCTCTACTATATACACTTCCCAGGGGCACTGCGTGCCACCAGGCAGCTGGCACAGGGAGTCTCAGAGTACCCCAATCCCCAGTGTACCACCAGGCAGCTGGCACAGGTGGTCTCAGAGCACCCCAATCCCCAGTGTGACACCAGGCAGCTGGCACAGGTGGTCTCAGAGCACCCCAATTCCCAGCATCACTGTTTCCACCCAGCACCGGGGAGGCTGAGGCAGGAAGATGACCCCTGTTCTCAATCTTCTTTCTGATCGTGACATTGGGCAACAACTGTGACATCCCAGACCTCCAGAGAAGGTCTTGCACGCCTGTCCTGTGAGAACACTTCTGGATGTGCTTGTGCAGTCCCTGTGGGCACCAGGCACTGGCCTAAGGACTAAGCTCTGCAAATGTTAACTCTTTAACGACCTAAACCACAAATTACCCCATGAGGAAGAAACTGAGGCAAGGAGAGGTTAGCCTGCTGGCTCAAGGTTAGACAGCTAGTGAATGGATGAGCAGGGACTTAACCACAGGCAGCCTGAGTCCACACACTGTCACTCTCCTTTGCTGTCCCCTTCTTGGCTCCTAGACAACCCATCTAGCCTCTGGGTTGAGCCTTAAATGGTTAACAGGGTCCACATACCACACGCTGCATGAAAGATGAACAGGTTGGTTTGACAGACCTTCTAGGGACCCGGGAGGGAAGAGGCCACTAACACCATAAGGCAAATGGGCAGTGGTCTTAACCAGTACCACAGCTGGGAGCTTCAGAAATGAAAGCTTATCGTGTTGGCAGGGATAATGGTGCATGCCTCTCATCCCCGCACTTGGGAAACTGAGGTAGGATTGCCATGGGGTCCAGGCCAGACTGCTCTACAAAGTGAGACTTTACCTTGAAAAAGAAAAAAAAAACAAGGGCTGAAGAGATGGCATAGCTGGTAAAGGGTCCGCTTTGCAAGTGTGAGGACCTGAGTTCGGATCCCTGGGGACCTGCATTAAAAAGTAGCTCATGGTCACATGTACCTTCAGCCCTAGCAAGGGCTCCAGTGAGAGACCCTGTCTCAAAAGATAAAAAGGAGCCAGGTGGTGGTGGCGCGTGCCTTTAATCCCAGCACTTGGGAGGCAGAGGCAGATCTCTGTGAGTTCAAGACCAGCCTGGTCTACCAAGTGAGTTCCAGGACAGCCAGGGCTGTTACACAGAGGAAACCCTGACCCCCCCCTTAAAAAAAGCAGGGAGAAATTGGGGAAGACACCCAACATGGCTTTGACCTACACATATGACACACACACACACACATACACAAAAGCATGCACACAACATGGCCTTTGGCCTATACATATGATGCACACACACATATACATGCGCACACACACACACAGAAGCATGCACACAAGTTTATTGTGACCCAGTTCTGGAGTCCAGAAGTCCAGGACCAAGGCATTAGTCTGGTAGCTCTGCTGGGGACTATGGGTCTGCTCCAAGCCTCCTCCTGGTTTTGGGGAGTTTGGTGGCACTCTCAGTATCCCTTGCCTTAGAGAAGTATCCCCCTACTCTTTGTGGGGGGCTGGGTTAAGACAGGGTCTCACTCTGGAATAAAAACTGACCTTGAGCTTACGGCAATGATCACAGGTGTGTGGCGCCCCACCCTATCACCCTGATGACACCTCGGTGTTATCCTTGTGTGTGTGTGTCCAAAGCTCTTTTCCTGGGGACACACACTCTATTGAGTCCACCCTGGTTGAGCATGACTTCCTCTCCACTTACATCTGCTATGACCTTGCTCCCAGAAGAAAGGAAACAGAGGTTAAGGGGCTGCAAGGGACACAACCCAGCCTCCAACTCTAACAGGAGCCGACTCTCCAGGACACATGACTTTACCCTCCGCTCAGCATGGGATGTCACCTCTACCCTTCCCTCCCATGACCTTGCTGGCTCAACACACACCAACCCCTCTGTCTGGCACACTCAGGCTCTGGCACCAGCCTCTGCACCCACCCACTATGCTCTCCCAGTACACACATGTTCTCTCCTTCCCCACCACGCCCAAATGGTAGCATTCACAAGTGGCCACCTGGGAAAGTCCAGATGCAGGAGCCATGCCCATGGACCCCAGCCACCTTCCCTCCATAACAGCCCAGTGGCAGGCTGGCCCTCCGAAAACTCTCTGTTAAGTATACTATGTCCGGAGAAGTGAAAAAAAATGAAAAATGCTACACAGTAGGTTCACAGTGAAGCCTAAGGCCCAGGACACCTAATGTTGAATCTCCATCTGTGCGTGCGTGCATGTGTGTGTGTGTGTGTGTGTGTGTGTGTGTGTGTGTGTGTATGTACTATGGCACACAAGTGGAGGTCTTAGGACGACTTAGAGTCAGTTCGATCCACATGCCTTTGGAGGCCAGAAGAGGGTATCAGATCCCCGGGACTGGTTACAGGTGGCTGTGAGCTGCCATGGCTTCCAGGCTTCTGGTAAAGAAGCATGTCCTCTCCTTAACCTGAGTCATCTCTCCAGCCACTCTCATGCCTTTTAGGTCATGCAATCTCCCCCCACACAGACAACTTTGTGTGGACTCCCCGAGAGCCTGAGGGTTACCAGTAGCAGGAAGAACTGAAGGCTTTGTCAGGACCACACTTTGCTCACCTCTCAGAGCCCCCTTGCAACACAGCCCTGGGTCCCTCAACTCAGGACTTTTCTTCTGAGGTTCTATGGAGCCCAGTTATCACCTCCCTTTGGGACAGCGGCCTCCATCATCTTCGGATGAGGGGGTTTCCCATCAATCCATAGCCTTGTCCTCTCCAGCCTCAGGCTCTGCAGACACCAAGCTCTTCTCGCATCAGGCTGTTGCTGATGCAAGTCCCAATCCAGAAGCTGGTGGCCATGGACTGTTGCCTGGCAACCATCTCTGAGCGACAAGATCAAGGTAAGTCAGCAACTTCCATGGCTGAAGAGGACGGAGGCAGGCTTGACGGTCACTGCCTTTCTTTCTCTGCTCAGGACCAAATCACAGGTTCTAGACCCCCAACCCAAAACAAGCTCCTTCAGTTCCCCTCGCCTGCCCCTGGTGCATATGTTCCCAAACACAGCTCTAAAGCAGATTCCTCATGTGTGGCTGTGGCCCCAATGACTCCGCTCATGTGTTCATTCCAGAGACTCATGGGAAGGGCCATAGCTGCCCTGCCAGACCCTGGAGACACAGCCCTGCAAGGTCGAGGTTTTCAGATGCATGCGGACCCATAGGCATGCACTTCAGCATGCCCCAGCAGGGGCTCCCAATGTCGGTATGTTCGGAATCGTGGGTGCAGAAGAGAAACCCCGGCCCCTGCGGACACTTCCAGATAACTCCCAGGCACTAGCTGGTGTTTGTAACTGCATACACCTGCTTGATAGAACATTTGGGACACATGTCCTACGACACACCATGCACTGAAGAAAGCTACACACACACACACACACACACACCACACACCACACACCACACACCACACACCACAGCTGCTATCTGGCCTTTCCTTCCATGTGCCCGCCTCTCCGACTACCCTACTGGCCAGATTATATTGTCCATCACACTGCCTCACTTCTGGCTGGCTGGAAAGATAGACATTGACCAATTATCACCCCCATGACCTGCCTTGTTGATTGGCCCAGAAGGCCATCATGTGACTTAGTTGTAGCCAATCACGTTTTTGCTTTGAGAG